TTACAATTTCCGTGGTTTCCATGTAATTTTTATCGATATCGATATTTTACCGATATTTCCATCGATATTTCCGTGTTTTCGGACTACCGATATTTCCGATATTACCGATATTTTCTTCCTTGGTAGTAACACTACTTTGAACAAAAAAAATAAAAAGGAAGGAACCCTTGAAAATTGAGTTGAGATGCAAATTGTTTTTCATGCTACAATATTGCTATATTTTCAGAATTAATATATATTACACTAATTTGTACATAATTGTTTAATCTACCGACATATAACGTGGATCATACTTGATCATAAAAAATTACTGTGCATTATGATTGAAGTTTTCTTAGTCACACCCCACTACACATCTAAGTTTACCTGATAATTAAGTGTTTAAATTCAATTCTACCCTTACTAAAAAAAATTGAAAATCCAAGATTTTGGGAAAAACAACCTCGTCGTACCACCACGCCAGAGTCGTCCACCAGCCCGAATTCTGGCCTCCTCGCTCTCACTAAAGCATTCAAAGTAGGGCATTATTGCCATTGAGGAGCTGTTTGATCTCTTCTTTTTACTAATTAGTGATATAAAGTTTGGTGTTAGATAAAATGCTAAACCCACCACACGACATAAACAAGAAAACATAAAATTAAAAAAAGGAAGCAGCAAGAGGGAATAAAATTGAAGAACCCCTAATTCTAATTTCATATTAAAGAACTGGAGGGAGAGAGAGATGGGTGAGAACGAGAAGTCGACGGCGGGGCTTGTAGGGATTGCAGCTGATGGTTGGAAACATGGGCGAAGGTGGTGGGTTTCTTATCCTGGTCTTCCTTTCTTTTTGTGGTCAAATTATCTTGGTCTTCCTTGACTTTTGATTAATTCTAACTCAAATACTACAAATTTATAATTATAACGACTATGGATGATACATGTCCAAAATGTCCGCATTGTCAAATCTATGAGTTCACACATATATGACTGCCTAGCTACTCAGCCTAGTGAAAATATATGATACTGTATGGGATTCATGCATACTATAACGTGTATAATTTATAAATATATTCTTATATAGTAAACTGTAACTTAATTAGAAATCTTAGGAGCATCATAACTGAAACGTCAGCAGCATCGTGTAAATTTCAAGTTTGTGGTTCCAATTCACGGATATATAGGGTATGACTTTTGGAAAATATCTGCATAAGTCAACTCATTGGTGGCCTATATTTCGTAAGTAGGCTTCTAGTCGTATAATCTTGTTACAAGTTAGTTCTCTACCGATGAAAAATAACCTCAATTAGGCAAAGAGGGAAAATTTGTTAGAAAAGTCATTGTGTCATAAGTAGTGGCAGTTAAAAGATATACATATTCAAGAAATAGGGTATATTGAAGTATTTGATCTAAAATATCAAATTTACTTTTGGTATATCTTTTAATATTTTCAAACTGTGCCATATTGAATTTGAACTGTAGGCATTTATTCTAATTGGCTAGAGTAGTGTGATCCTCCAAGTTTGATTATCTAGCTCTGTGCAAAAGCTCTCTACTCTCATAGTTCATTTTTCTAGTTAGTTCTCTAGAGTTATCACTTTAGCCCTAGGTGCTGGGAGGCGAAGCTCTGTGGGGTAACTCAACATATTGTAGCCCACCCGACATCCTTCGAGTTCCTAGATGTACAAGGAGGTACTTCGCATCGATCGTGGAGCATTTGGTGGTGCTTGTAGGATAGTGTCGTGGTTCCTAACTTCCGCATAGAGGCAAGTTCGACCCTCTATTCTTGTTATAGTTTTCCAACAATGGTATTAAAGTCACTCACACACTCCTCGCATGATTACATGTTTTATTTATATAGAGTGAAGTGCCAATTTAGTCCCTGAACTATTACCTCAGTGAAAATTAGGTCCCTAAATTATTTTTTGGTAAAATAAGTTCCTCTATTCATTAAAAATTGCTAATTTCATCCTTACTATTATATTGAAAACAATTTTATCCAATTTTTAGTCAACTTAAGTCACTTGACACACTTTAGAGGTAATACCGTCATTTTCTTGCCTATAAGCCCTTAACATTTCATATATATTGCGAATCTAACGTTTAGCTTACCCGCAAAAGTGAACTCCATACACTATTTCCTTACTAAAAGTTACCAATCTACCCTCCAATGTGTATCACATCCAAGTAACATGACAAATTAAAGGAAAATTCAATATAGTACCTTCGAATATAATATTATGGATGTAACTAGCAGATTTTTGTAATTCAATGACTGCATGCAAAAGCAATAAAGCCACACTTGGCATGTCATATAAAGTATCGAATAAGACTAATAGTACGAAACCGGTTGTTTGGTTCATTTTTGTATTAAATAGCCACCTGACTAAATAATCCGAATTCACTTGTTTTGTTTAGTCCACACCTGCTACTCCAAAAGGTAAGACTCATCGAATTCAAATGTGAGATCTTTTAGCAATCTATTGTTAAATAGCCCAGCCTTGGCTTGTCTTTCTCAAATCCCTTCGTATGAGTTTCTAGCTTCACCATGGAACTCTTCTATCCCCTTCATGCCTTAATTCCCAAACTCAATTTTCACTTTGAGCCTTCGATGATTAGGATTTGTAACCAAGAAACTTACCATATCCATATCTATCATTACAAACAAAGTCAAGTGAAATAGGGATAAACCATAACCTTTTAATAGTCACCTTTATTTCCTTTAATGTGTTCCATAGCATTCATCCCTTACTGAACCATCAGCAACGTTCTCCTTGCAATTATAGCATACGTGTTCAACTTTAGGAGAGTGTTGAGATTCTTTAGTGGGTTCTTCTTCATTGGTGCCTTCTTCGCTCTTCATCGGAATAGAGCTTCTGATGACAGATTGACTCACATTAGAGTTGACGATCCTGGTTGAATCAACTCCATAGTATCCTTAAGAAAATTTGCAGGTGGGAGTTTGTCTCCCCCCAAAGAATTGTACTCATTTTGCCTGTTCACAGAACTTTGATAATTTACATGTTTTATGAGAAATTATAATTTTATCCAAGTCATTAATCTTGTTAGAATAAAGCACTTGAAACTTTTCATTCTTTGCTTCCTGATCATGGAATAATAATTAATCCGACAAAATCTTTCCAAAATAAATCTAACCCTGGAGTAATGAGTAATAGAGTAAAACACGAACAAATGCGCAGACCCATGACAGAGCTCAAAGCTCCCCTAGGTAACATTGATTTGAAAAAATATTACCTCCTAGGCTTGGTGTTCATAAGGGTTTTCATTGTGATAATTGAAGAACCACATTTCTTTGACACCAGGTCTAAGCCCATGAAAAATGTTTTACTCCATACTCACCATTGTGCATTGGTTGGATTAAGAATGAGAAATTATGAAACCTTGTTTGGAATGTTCTTTAGAGCTTTGACTTAGATGAGCCTTCCTTCTTCCGAATGGCATGTTGCTTTGTTCGTTCACCTTACCCCATTCTAGAGATGAAGATTTTAAAGATTGCAATGTGTTGTTAAGAAGGGGCTTCCTTCTAGTTCGAATTGCGTGTCCGTCATTAGTGAATTTTAAACAAAAGTTTGTTATGGACTTGGTCGCTTGCATGTGGGTTTGAAACACCTTTAGAATGCGTCAAAGTTAAACGTTTTTGATTGGACTACACTTAGCTGGCTTGGCTAAGGCACTTTCGAGTACGGAGCTTTGTTGGAATAAAATTCCTCTTGAGGATTTCCTAGTCTGGGTGCCTCTTTCGGACCTTGTCATGGTGTTGCATAATGCACTTAACTTAGTACAATCGTCCGAGATAAAAGTAATCGTACTCAGGGTTGGGACTCAGAGCCACCCCTCAAATGATTCCCGATTGCCTTTTCCATCATTCCCTCGAATGGTGTAGAGCCCGGGTTGAATGTTATAACCCACAACCCTTAGGTTGTATAATCTTTCCGAAAGATGGAAAGTGAATTGGACTTCCAAGTCGGGGGGTCATGTCTCGTGCCTGTAGTTCGCCAATCGTAACCGCACTTAATATGACTCGAGCCTCCTAAGTTGCTAACCGAACACTACATAGTGGGCTAAAGGAGACACCTGTGACCCTATCAGTTTGAATTTTAAACTTGCGATTACGCGAAGTTTCAAAGTTGTGTGTTATTCAAGGAATTTTAGGGTATTCCATTCACCGCAAAAGAAAAGAACGAACAAACATGTAGCATATGCGAGTAACTCTGAAAACTCTTTCATTGAATAAAAATGGGTGTTGACAAATGGGGCGTGATTGAATCCGAAAAGGATTACGTATTTGCGAAAAAGAGAATCAAATGACTGGTGTAGTTTCAAAAAAGATGAGAAAAAGTAAACACTTGTCATGGTGAGGCGATAAAGAGATAATGGGAATCAAATCGCAAAGCTTATTCTAGAACGGTTTGGCTCCGCCTTTTATGAAAACAACTTTCAAATGCAAATACATGCTGCTTTTAAAAACTGTTGTATGAAAGCTATTACGTTTAAAATAAGCATGATATTTTATTTTCATCAAACAGTTTTTACTTCTAACTTGTGTATAAAGCATCTTTTTAGCTTACAAAAAAAAAAAAAAAAAAGAAAACCAAACGGGTTTAAGCCAAGAATTAAAGTTTTGAAATCTTGGAATTTTGAAGTTTGGGAGGTTCACCAAAATTTTAGTGACGTTGAATTATACCCTGTACATATTCTTCAAACCAATAATTAATTAGGATTTATTACTTAAAAGAACCCTTAATGTTGACGTACTAATTAGAGAAGGTCAAGCATCATTAAACAGAAACAAGAAAAAGAAAAAGTAGGAACTTTCCACTTTGTAACTATGTTCCACACGGAAGACCGACATGGACCAAGCAAACAAGCAAAGATGACCGGCTTCACAATATGCATGTTCTCATTGTTCTTTCTCAAGGCAGCCGCGTAGACTGCAACAAGTCTAACTTGCTTTTTCTTTACTCGTCAGCTTTTCCTTCTCTATTTATAGGCTTCAATTCGAGTATCCTTGCCACACACTCTCATCAGTGATCACCTACAACAACAATACACAATTTTCGTAGAAGTAAAGAAATTTAGTCGATGGAGAGCAAGATGGTGATTGTTTTTGGCTTTGTAGTTGCAGTATTTTTGCAGAGTGCGGCAGCGCAGACAGGACATGTGGTGGGAGACAGCATAGGTTGGACCATCCCTCAATCTAGTGCACAAGAGTATGTCACTTGGGCTGCAAGTAACAAGTTCGTAGTTGGTGATACTCTGGGTATTTTCTCTTCTCATCTATTTTCCATCTCCGTCTTCATTAAATTAATTACTTCATGAACTCATTAGTGTAATGCAAACTTCAAATAAACGAGCTGGACCAATCAGTTGGTACTAATAGTGTGCAACTGTGATTGTTTCGAGGTAACTATCCATCAATTAAGTTCTCTCACATTTGATGTTTCTTAATAATTTTCCAGTTTTCAACTTCGCCACCAACGCACACGATGTACAAGAAGTACCCAAAGCATCTTTCGACTCATGCAGTTCCGAAAACCCAATTGGCACAGCCATCACAACTGGCCCAGCAAACATCACATTCACCTCCGCAGGCGACCACTACTACATCTGCACTTATGGCCGCCATTGCCAGTCGGGACAGAAACTAGCCATCACCGTCTCAGCTGCCTCCCCAGGTGCCGCACCTTCTGTGCCGCCACCGCCCTCTACAACTAACACCCCTCCAACTACCCCTTCCCCCACATCAAACGACCCTGCTGCTTGTGAACCTGTCCCGGCTCCATCGCCTTCCATGAGTGGAGTACCCACCGTGAACACCACCCCTGGGTCGCTGCCTCCGTTGGGTTCTTCTTCACATGTTGTTTTAGCTAGCTTCGTTTTATCCTCCTTGGCTCTTGTCGTGGGTTTGTTCTTTTAGGTGCAGTAGACATCGGCATTTGGTCATCCAATAATTTTTTGGGGTCTTTTGATATGGGTCCAATTGGACTAAAAATTGGACCTATTTCAAAAGTCAAAAGTCACTAAAACGAGACATCGGCTTTCTTACTTACCATATTGGTCATCCAATATTATCTTTTTTATATTTTTTCTTTCTTGATAGGGCAGGGTAAATAGTTATTTATTTTAATCTCTTTTTTATTTTTGTATCGGTTTTGTATAACAGAACCGTGATGATTTTTTGGAGTGTGCTATTAATAAAGGAAATCTTGTAGTTGAAAATAATGTTATGCACTATGTTGGAACTTCGAACGTTAAACTTGTTTGTATGGTGTTTAAAAAAAATCATTATACAAAATACAAAAAGAAAACGATTGTAAAATGTCTTTGATACCTTGGTTTTTAAGAACAAACTCATAAAATAAAAATAAAAACTAAAGACAATATTTAGTTTTAGTAAAACATCAAGCAAGACATGTATACTTAATTATTAAACAAGATTACTGTTTAAGAAGAAAGTTCATATACACAAGCACCAATCTTACCATGATGGTCACACCTATCGTCTTAACTGCTATTGCTATCACTATTTTCTCAACTATACCACTATTCATTTTACAAAATACAAAAAAAACGAGTGTAAAATGTCTTTGATGAAGAAATTAGGGTTTCACTATAAAACCAATTGATAATATAGAAAACAGCTCAATATCTTATCAGCCTTTGCCTTGGTCTACACCTCATCAGTGTGGGACATTTTGTCCTCACATTATTAACTCTCAACACGCTCCCTCACGTATGACCAATTTTTAAGCCTACACATGGACAACTAATTGGGTGATGTGTGAACAAGTGCGGCCCTTGAGCTTTCACACAAGGGACAACCTGGCTCTAATACCATAAAAAAGTCGGTGTACTACCATAAACCAATTGGCAATATCAAGAGTAGCCAAACAACTTATAAGCCTTTGCATTGGTCTATCCCACTGATGTGGGACATTTTGTCCTTACAGCATCAACTCTCAACATTTGATATGTTGGTTTTTAAGAACAAACTCATAAATGGAAAAAACTAAGGACAATATTTAGTTTTAGTAAAACATCAAGCAAGACATACTTAGTTATTAAATGTTATTGTTTAAAAAAAAAAAAAAGAAGAAGAAGAAGAAAGTTCATATACACCACCACCATAACCATTTAGTACTACGGTTTAGTGGTATTCCTCTTCATTTTCCTTAAACTGCACAAAGCCACAACTTCACAACTTGGAGAAATGCTTTTACAATAATGGGCTATTTCAGAATATAAACTGAAAGTAGTGCAATTATGGCAAGTTCAATCTCCACGTCTTTTTATATGTGTTTCATTAAAAGGAGCATAAATAATATAATCAATAGGTTATTTGCATGCCACTCAGTACTATAGTCTGGTGGTATCCTCTTTACTTGGAAATGAGAAGTATTAGGTTTGAATTTCGTGATGGCGAATTCGATACCAAATTAGATTATTCATTATGTGACTTTGTCGAACTTCCATTTTCCCACAGTATAAAAATATCGATGTACTAAAATATCCCAAAAAGGGAAAATTAGGTTCACATCCTTCTTTTTATTACTCCATTGATTAAAATCCTATTCATTTTCAATTTTTGATCAAGGTCCTTGGGTATTAATAACATCATTAATTATTTGAATAATAAAATATTTTTATTTTTAAATATATTCCCTTAATGTTAAAAATGTTACAATTAGTATATTTATATTTATGGCTAAATTTTTTATCATATATTTTTATTTTTAGTTTGTACCTATTTTTAATTTGCAAATATTTTTTTAATTGTACCAATTTTCTTTTCATTTTTAATTTGTACCCATATATTAGTTTCTATTTGTGCCCATATTTTTTAAAGTTTTATTTGTGTTTGTACCCATGTGTATACCGTCATGTGACATTGTATATTTAATCAATGATAGAAAAATTACATATGGTATATTTATGTTTTTATGCCTAAACTTTGTATCATATATTTATATTTTTAGTTTGTACCCACTTTTAATTCGCAACATTTTAAAAAAAAAATTGTAGTATTTTCTTTTTAATTTTATTTTGTACCGATGTATTAATTTCTTTTAGCGCCTATGTTTTTAAAAATTCATTTGTATTCATAATTTTTTTTATCTGTACCCTAATTTATTTTTAATGTACCCATTCTTCTTTATTAATGTACCACTTTGTTATATGTGAAATGTATTAATTTTCTTGTAAAATGTACCAATTTTTTTAACACTATGGATACATTCTTTTGCCATTTATTATTTCTTATTTTTACATATTTTTTATCCATTTATTCAATCAAAATGTTTGAATTTTTTTATTGTAACTGTTTCTAATAGTATTATATAATGAGGGATTTTAAATTTATAGGCTTATAGATCTCATAAAATATCAAACAATTAATGTCAAAATTATAAAAATAAAAATATTAATAGTAATATAATGAGGTGTACAAAGTTAAGGGACCTTGATCAAACTTTGAATACTTTTAAGGTTTTAATCAAAGAATGTTAAAGATTAGAGACCGCATCCAAAATATCCCAAAAAAAATTTATTTGCATTGCACCTTCTATAGTATCATAATTTTTTTTTTCTCACTAAACTTAGCTGCCACCATTCATGTCCCCACCCCGCTATTATCACCACTCATATCCCACCATTATTGTTACCACCACCACTGTTTCTACTTGGGGTGGCAATCATCTCCACCACCATACCACCATCTTAAAATATATATTACAAAACATTATTATCAAACACGAATTTCATGTATTGACATTTATATATCGATAAACAAAGACGTCTAATGTCTTCCTTGTCAAAATATAATTCCCAGATTAAACTCCTAGACGAATTCTTCAAGTCTTTTTACTGCTACATTTGCTAGACGTGAGCTGGGCCATGTCACCTACTACTTTAACGGGCCTTGTTTGGGTTTGAATTTTTGGGGTTTTAACGAAAAACCCACGGTACTGTTCACTTTAATGAAAAACCACATTTTTACATTAAAAAGCCAAACCTGGTACTATTCACTTTACCCTTTATTTTGTCCTTATCATTAAAACTCAAAGTTTTCAAGCTTTTTTCATTAGTTTTCCTTTGAATTTTTTTCCTGCAAGCTGAATGGAAAGACACGATAAGATGTGTTAAAATAATGAGTTAACACGAACCAATATCACGACCCATTTGTCAGGTCCATGTAAAGGAAAATGTGATTTGACCAAATTTATTGTTGTTAAAAATTAAAACCTCCGCGGTTTTGAAGATTACAATATTGAAATAGGAATGTAAGTTTTCCTAGTTATGGAATCCCTTTCTATTGAGTGATCTCTCAAAAAACTTATTTGATGAGCATAGGTACATTTTTAAGAAATTTAATTAGTTTTATGGTGGAACTTTAACTTTTTCATGATATCAGAATATGTTGTCCTGTGTGAGAAAGCCCACAGCCCGGCATGCTTTAGGTCATCTAATTTGTGTTGTCCACGTGTTAGACTTGAAAATTTGCCGCTCATAAGGTGTTAATCCCCCATTGAAAAAAAAGACCTTGCATGTGCTTATAAGCAAGTTAGGCCATTCCCATACACCTATTTATTTTATCTCAACTTCTTCACATTCTACATTGTATTTTAATGATTCAAACAAATTATTTTTCAAATTGTTGTTGAAAGTTTGTTAGTTTGTTCAGTGAAATTGTTAGTTTAAAACTCGGTAGAAGTTGGTTAAAAGGGAAGCATTGTATCAGAAAGATTGTTTTTTTTTTTCAAAGGCAAATCAGATATATTAAAGTCGGAGAGAAAGGTTAGCATCATTGGCCAGGGTGTTAAACAAAAATTCTGGCCCAATACAATCCCAAACGAACTCCCTACCCTCCATAAAAACAAACTTGGCCACCGAGTGAGCAGCAGTGTTGCTCTCTCTAGGCGCGAAGACGAAAGACACGGCCTGCATCCTACGTGCTAGATTCTCAATGTCACCAAGCAAACAACCAATCCTAAAGTCCCGAGTTAGCTCCTTTCTAATCATGAGGACAATAGCCCTAGCGTCAGATTCAACAATAACGTTAACAAAACCCTGAAGCAGACAAAATTCCAAGGCCCCCCGAATTGCAGCCGCTTCCGCTGCCGCAGCAGAGTGAAAACTTGAAGCACCCGTTCCACCAGCCCCCTGCAGCACCCCAGCAAAGTCCCGGGCCACCCAACCCAGCCCCGCCCTCTGCGAAGCCTTGTACCACGTAACATCGGTGTTCACTTTAATCATCCCAAAGCAAGGTTTCTTCCAACAAACCCGTCTTCTTTCCTCCCCCATGTCCCTGTTGTACACCGGAGTCGGAGAGCCCTGTTCCACCCTCTCGTTCGCATTTCGGTATTCAGCAACATTCCGTTTCCAGACCTCAAGAATCTCTGTCGGCGGAAGGAAACTCCCCCTGAAGATAGCATCATTCTGATTCTTCCATAATCTCCACAGGCCAAAGACGAACTCTTGCAGAAGCTCGTTCTTGTCAGCTAGATCAGCAACCCGATTGTAAATATTTACCCAGCTTTGTAGGAAGTCAGTTCCCTCCAGATCAAAGGAGTTGATCTGAAGCGGGGAGCAAAACTAGAAAAGATGGCTTGTTTCGCATCTGAAAAAAATATGATTCTCGGTTCATCCACCAGTCCGCACACCCCACAGATGTTGTCAACCCGCATATGCCGCCGTTTGAGGTTTCTCCGAACAGCCAGCGCGTGATTACAACATTTCCAAATAAAAAATCTCATCTTCCTGGGAACATCCAGGCTCCAAATCGCATTCCAAGTCTTGTTATGTTTGGTTTTGTCGCTGGTAGCCCCCCGTCCCTTCTTTCTGAGCCCTCCACTCTCCATGAGCTCCATAGCAATTCCATACCCCGATTTCACCGAGTAGACCCCATTCGCAGTGTGGAACCAACCCATCCTGTCACAAGATCCAGTCTTACTAATCGGGATACTGAGAATAGTGTTCGCCTCCTCAGAGCTGAAGGAAGCACTAATCAAATCAGCTTTCCAGGTCTTGGATTCCTGGTTAATTAAATCACGAACATACAGGGCATCCAGGTTCACCGCAGGCCTGATGCAAAAGGTAGACGGCTTGGGGTACCAGGGATCCTCCCTAATTTTTATAGTTTCACCGTCTTCCACCCTCCAAATCAGCCCCTTATCGAGCACCTTTCGAGCTTCGAGAATTCCTTTCCATCCCCAAGAAGATCCCCGACCGATGGTTGCCTCCCTAAAGGTTTTCTCAGGG